ATTCGATCTTCTCGAACAATCGAGTCAGGGCGATGGCACCTCCATTTCCGTCGAAGGACTTGGGTTTTGCAGTCATGAAGTCCTTGTAGGAACATTCTTTTTGATGTCCCTGACTTCCACCTTGTCTCTGTGGGTCGGTTCCACCTCCAGCCCCACCAGCGTTCACTTGTGTCATTGCTGCAGTCACGGCGGCGGTAACTGCTGCCTGGAACATGACGGGATCGAACTGAGGAGGTGGTGGTGGTGGCGGAGTGTCGTCCTTCCTTCTGACGGGCCTTGGTCGGGGAGGCATCTCGTTCTAGAAATCAATCAGGAAGAAGAGGATGTTAAGTCCTCGAGATATATAAAACAAAATATATATCATCCTGATAATAAAAGTATACTACCGAGCGATAAGCACAGAAAGGTTACTAACGCAAGTAAGTTATCGCTTAAGGAAGAAGAGGTAGAAATACTTAGAGTGAATCTGTATACTGAGTTTGGCACTAGCTAAAATACTCCTATAGTATTTTATGTAGAATGATTTTGGTAAGTTTTTAGGCCTGCTGTAACACCACCATCACTCCCAAACACATGTTGGTCATGTCTCGACTAAATATAGTTGATCAGGCTATATTCACCCTAGACATGATTACATAACTGCCCAAGTTTAACCGCAGCGTTCCAGCATCCAAATACTTCTGTTCTGTTCTACTAGCGGCACGAATTTTGTTATGTATGCATGCTCGTATACTTTTATAAAAATACTTTATATTTTGAAAGTATACTTTTAGCGTAGAGCACTTAGGCCCCTTGGTGTTTATAGTTGTATACCACGTAAGGTTCGGTATACTAGTTCGCTATAAACAAGGGCTCTGATACCAAATCTGTCACACCCCGAAACCGATGGCAGAAACGTTCCGGAGCGGAGGACGTCATGTGTAGCATCACAACCAATGAATAACAGCAATCATAGCAACACAACCATTACAGTAAATACTTAAATAAAAATGTTTACATCAGTTTGAAACTTAGTTTGAATTACATCCAATAGCTTTGTATAGTATAAACATAAAACTCTTATTGCTCCAGTTCCTCGAAAATCCAGCAAGTACCTGTCTACTGATTTCCTGAGAATACAAGCAGTTTGAAAGAGTATCAGCATAAAGCTGGTGAGTTCATAAGCGGTGGTTTGTAGTGAAAATCGTTGATGAGTTCGTAAAAGTGTTTTGTATAATTTCAAGAAAATCTGATATTTTCTTTAATGAAAAATGTAGTGTTTTCAATTCTGTATAAAACCATGAATGCTTGTCACTGAAAACTGTAGTGATATGCGAAATTATTACTTCATGTGAATAGCTAATACTAATCATGATGTAATAGTATTTCGTGCGTGAAACCATTGTATGTTCGTTTCTGTTTGAAACCCTGAAGGTTCTCCAGTTGGTAGTGTGTATTAGTTCTATTTAATGTAAATATAACTGTTGAAGAGTGTTAAATTGTAAACTAAAGGTGATTTATACATATTGTGAGTCGTATAACCATGCTTGATATGACTAGAGACCTTTCCAACGTTCTTCAGGCGTCGAGTTAAATGACATTTGTCACCCTTGGCATGCCTGCCCAACTGTAGCTAGCAGTTCGGGTGTGGGATTGTCAGTCCCGAATAGATCTATTCACAAATCTCACGCTCTCCCTCCAGGAGACTCTGGTTATACTATGGTAGGATTTATCCCTGTACACCTAAGGGTACAGTAGTGAAGTAGCGCCTCACAGTATCGTACCATCTAGTTTACATGTAGTGTAGTAGCGTTCTATCGTAGTAAAAATCCGTATGTATGCCGTAGGTAGTGATAATTACAGTTATGAATACCATGATAAAGTAGTGATGTAAACTGTAAACGGTTTATGTCTTAGTGAATATGTTTAGTAGTGAAAGTTTCTATACTTGATATGTTTTAGAAAATCCCAAACTATACCGATTATAGTTTGCATGTATAGTGAATAACGTATCTGGAAAACTATGGAATTTTAGTGAAAACGTCCCTTATGCTCAGCATAGTGTTAAAGTACGAGATTTGCATAAGTTTTGAAAACATTTAGGTTTAGCTTGTATTCCCCCCCTGAAAACAGTAAAAAAACGGAAAATGTAGGGGTATGAACTCACAGTTATTTCGTGAAATCGTTGACTGAATTGAAGATCCTCAAGTTGTTGCACGTGACACTTAACGAAATCCTATTATCAAATAAATACATATATGTATCTAAATTAGTGATATTGATAGATAAAGTGTTAGAGGAACACTTGTATTCGGTTGAGGAATGTTACCTGGACTTGATCGAATCGATGAAAGTGGGTTTTCAGCCAAAAGCACCACCTAAAAGGTGTTCACGGCCGTGAACAAGGGTTTACGGTCGTAAACTGGGGTTTACGGTCGTAAACTAGGGTTTACGGTTTCTGAAGGATTGGTGAGTTTACTGTCGTAAACTCAAGAACAGGGTTTACGATCTTTGAAGGCTCGAACCGTAAACTCAAGAACAGTGTTTACGGTCTTTGAAGATGGACCGTATACTCAAGAACAACGGTGCTGATTTCGAAGAGATAAGCGTTTCCAGACGTTTCGAGGTGGCTCCAAACGGTGTTTCTCGATGTTTCCCGAAGCTTGAAGGTGTTTTCAGGTGTTTACGGTCAAGGTTCTTAGAGAGAGAAGGAGAGAGTTTTTGGCCAGAAATGTTCTAATGAAGGAGGAGGCCTCGTATTTATAGGGGTGTTGTGGTCGGTGGCAGGGGGTCCACTCTTTACTGGTCGTAAACAGGTTTACGGTCGTAAACGGGTTTACGGTCGTAAACGAGTTTACGGTCGTAATCTCACTTAGACCGGAAATGTTTGATTTTTCGAGATATTCGGGTTTCCGCGCGATTTTTGGTTCCGACTCGTAAATAATTTAATTATATACAACTAGATTATTTTTCTAAACCAAAAGTTTGACGGAAGAGTTAATGAATTCGAAATTTAATTAACAGAAATCGCGTAACGGAAACGGACAAAGTTTCGGGTTGTCACAGTTGTTCATTACTTGCTTACCATATACATATCTCGTGATACTAAACATGACGTCCTCCACCCCTGAACGATTCCGCCGTTCCGATTTTGGGGTGTGACACAAACTAAATATAGAATTGAAACAAATCAGTTGATTAGATCAGGTTTTCTTAATCAAAAGTGCGGAAACCTTTTGAATCGGAAATAGCGATTCAAAATTTTTGAAAACGACGAAAAAACCAGAAACGACTGAATGAATCCTGCTCTAATATCAAATGTAGTGAGTTTGAATCGAGTATTAAGAACGAAATTAAGAACTTAAAAGCGTTAAGATCAAAGATGTAAATATAATCTATTTGGCACTTTATTACGTCTGAAAGAGTACAGAAACACAAAAGAGTACAAGCAGTCAAGCTCTCAAAAAGTTCTCTTGACTTACCCTATTTATAGGGTGATATAGACGCGTACAAAAATTACATAAGGACTAAACGTTTGAGCTTCGACCTCTAAAAATGTCTTACGTAATACATATATTCGAATTACATTAAATGGCCGATTTTTAGGAATTTAAAGAATTTTACATTGCCTAAATTATGATACGGTTCTATTATACTTACTACATTAAATGGCCGATTTTTAGGAATTTAAAGAATTTTACATTGTCTGATTACAATGAAATTATTAATATAAGACATTATTTAAAAAATGTTACATTGTCTGATTACAATTATGGATACCATTCTCGCTAAAATCAAGCAAAGATTATATGAATACTTTCCAAAATAATTGTTATTCCATTTATAAAAAAAAACATTGCAATGTATTTTTTTTTTGGAATGAAATCATCCCCACTAATAAATGTCAATCTTAATTTATATAAATTGTATATATAAGAGCCGATATTTGATTCATTTTATCTCCTTTCTCCACGTTCAACTCTTTTGTGCATTTGTCTGAACATCGACAATCAACATCAGGTAATAATCTGCTTCTTTAACCATTCACACCCATATTTGTTTCACTGTGTACCGAATAAAGTATATGATAATTGTATATACTATACTGTTTTTTTTTACTATATCTACTACATCACGGTATCGTGTTTTTTATGAAGTATAACAATCGAATATGTGTATTTTACTTCACTAGCATCCTACTGTCATTAAACCATAATGGCATCCAACCATGATTTTTAAAAATACAATTCAGTGTTATTTTGGTCTTTTCATGCTATATCTTCTAATTGACAAAAAATTGTGTTTTCTATCAACTATGTGTTTTCAATATGGTACAATTAGCACTTTTTACCAATATCCAAATAAAGATTAAATACAAGCCTTCGTCTAAATCAAAACCGATTATAATAGCAATGCTGATGATAGTAATGATGAACCATTTAGTTGTGATGGTTGCAGTGGAGTTTCTGATGTTTACAGCAAGTAAGTTCATAATTTTACATTTGCAAAGTTCTTGTACCATGAATTTCTATTACAATGTTTCCATTTTCGTTTCATTTCACATTAAACTGTCACTTAATAATTTTTAGGGTGAGGGTCGTAATTCGTGTTCAAGATGAAAATGGGTCTGCTTCTTTTGTATTGTTTGACCGTCATTTTAATGATGTTATTCACCGCGTTAATCAATGGTTGATGGAAGAGATATCAAAGGTAGTGTTATTATTATTATTATTATTATTTGCAATTTAAAATTTTGACTAAGTATTTGTCACTTGTTTACTTATTACGTGATATTGTCTTTTAGTTTTTAGATACGACAAGTTAACTGTATATTGTTACTACATTTTTTTTCATCTGGTTGTATTAACTATTCAAATATTTTATTATATTCTTCTTTAGGATAAGGCCGCCAAAACATCCCCGATGAGTTCAATAGCTTTTTGAATAAGAAGTTTGTTTTTAAAGTTCAGATTTCAAAGTTTAATGTCCATAACAATTATCTCGCCTACATTGTTCATAAGATGAGTGATGGTGAAGGTGTAGTTGATGCAGTTTTCAAACGTACACATGCATACGGACAAGACAAAATTCATTCTGATGGTACTCATATTAACAGGTCTGTTAAGGTAAAATTCAATACATATAAGTTTGCATTTTAATATTGTTAATAATATTATATTGTTAACATTTCGTTATATTAATTTTATATATGATAAGAGTGTTTATGTTGTAGGTGACAATATTGATCTCGATGATTTGACACCAACAACTACTTCAGTCAAGCGGCCTATTGAGATTGTTACAACCACTGAATCATTTGAATGGTCTTCTTCGAAAGATAGAGTTGTTGCTCCTACCTTGAAGATCCCAAAATGGAAAAACTCGAATAAGTTTAAGTCATTCATCATTATTTGACATTTTAGTTTGAAGATTTTTATCGAGTTTTTATTGTTTGCTTATGGATTTGTTTGACAAGTTATTTGTTTTGATTTTGAAGTTTATGTTTGTTTTCGTTTGGTTTTACACGATAGTATTCGTGTTGTGTAACACAATTTCAGATTTATGTTGAATTATTTATATGATATCAACATTTTGTTTGGCAAAATTTTATTAGGATTTTATATGTATTATTATTTGAATATTTTTCTTAGACAACATATTTCTTTGAATATAAATTTAAAGAAAACTGATGGAATGGTGGATAGATTTTGCATATCAACACTTTAAATGTTATATAATGCAAATTATAAAACAAACGTAAATAAGATGTAAAAAAGAAAACGAATTATGAAATACAACTAACAATTTTGAGTATTAATTATGCTTATTATTTGTAAACACATTTAATAACTTTAAAAAGAAAGTCAATTGACAAGTAAAAATACGGAACAATTGGCAACTGGTAAGTTAAATAGCATTTACTATCATTAAATTTCACCTTTTGTATTCTAGTAAAGTCAACAAACCATGTCAAACCCTTAGTCAACTATGAAATACGAAATACCTGTACATTAAGATAAGATTAAAAATGCATAAATATCGTCCGCATTCATGTTTTTTGTATGTTTCCTTAATTTATGCTTCTACTAATTAGGATACATTAAAATTAATAATCTTACCTTCATTATTTATATCCAATTTTACAGGGAATCGCCATCTTATCCCTTCAATTAAGTATTATTTATTTAATTAGCTTATCTAATACCATATTTATACCCTTTTCACGGTTTTTTTTATCTTGTAACATATCCTACAAAATTACACGGTTTACCGATCTATATATATCCTTATTAACCCTACATAATATTACTTATCATACAAATCACGATAAAATTATCTTTCTTCAACCTATGTTTACACTTCCTGTTGGCTTCCATCATCCATCATCCATAACAGGTTTCATTATCCTCTCCCCCTACATTATTTTTGTTGTTATATTATGAACAAACTATATTGAATCATGTATGGAATCGTGTTTTAAATATCTTATTTGAACTTCTTTTTTTTCCTGCTTCGTTCTCATTGTGTATACTTCTTCAATATTGTTATTAGTTTCTAACACAATTTTTTTAAACCATCCACCATAAAAGACTTTATTCATTTAAAAATTTCACAGCACAGGAATATAAACTGATCAAAACTCAAAATACACAATAATGACCTTTTTCCCCTGTACATATGCTCTAATATGAAACATAATATGTTAGAGGTTAAATCAGTTGATTACTGGATTTGCAAATCAGTTGATTACTGAATTTGCAAAGTGTTTTCTTTTTTCCTTTGTTCGTGATTGAATTTTTTCGGAATTGTATCTCCTCTTAATTCACAATTAGTCATCCAAAAAAATAATTGTAGCACTTTTCTTGTTCCTTGAATTTTTTATGTAACAACTGATAGTATTCCAACTTGTTGGATCTATTTTGGGTAATTGAAAGAATAAATCCTCAACTTTTTTTATTTATGAAAGAACCTCTTTCTAAACTTTCGTATTTCTAAAAGACCCAAACTTTCATACTTCACAATATTGTTACTCCAAAACATGCTACATGCATATTTAATAATAATATTTTACATTGATAATGTGATTACAAAAGACTGGATACAAACCGACTAAGTTTTAGTATATTACATAACTACCCAGGATATTATAGTTTTATACATACGTAAACCCCAGTACAAAAGTAATAGTATAAACTATTCTAAATCTTCCAACAATATATGACTATACTGGATTCTCATTACCTGCAATTGTTAAACACCGAGAGGGGTAAGCGGTGACGCTTAGTGAGTTCAATAATAGATACAATATAACGTTATGCCATATATATACTTTAATATGCCAGAAGCAAAGGGGTACAAGGAACAACAAAGGCATATGTGAAATGCGACAAGATTTCCATATCAATCGATGATTTGATTCAATGATATACAATCAATGAGACATAACAATTTCAATAATTGATATACATCAATAACACTTTGGCACAAATGGCATAGAAGACATACGATTTCTGATTAAACATTTTGGTAGATTTCAGGCTTTTAGCCCTATCTAACCTTCTGCCAATGTCATAGAATATAAGTCATTCTTTTACAAGACATGCTCTACATGGCCAAAGGCTTCATACCAGTACCACCGTGAATCTAAGTCCTTTCATTGATCACATAGTCAAAGGTACAACTTTGCTACCATAATAGCGGAAATAATAACACGAGATGAGAACACGGAAAAGCACATAGCACATATAACACATAACATACAATTGTTCATATATATTGAACTCACCGTGAAATAACCGGGGGTTAAAGTATTAATTTGGGCAGCACTTCGACTCTAAATATGACTTTTTGTGACGAAACCGGGGATTTTAGTTGAAAACCGACCTTACGCGGGCAGAGTTTCTACTCAAAAATATAATTTTCTCGGGAACTTCGGAGTGTCGGGACTTGCTTCGGGTGTCGGGAATGATACCGGGACTTCGGGGGTGTTAGTGTAAATTTAGAGAGAGTAGAGGGTGTAAAGTGAGAGATTTTGTAACATAAATACGGCAGCCTTCGCATCCCTTATATAGGGTCCGAAGCAGCTCACTACGCGGGGCGTAATTCCTCGGTACGCTGGGCGTACTGTACGGCGGTCTTCTACGCGGGGCGTACTCCTCGTATGCGGGGCGTACCTGCAAGGTGTCGACTGATCGGAACCCGAGCCTCGGGCGTGTCAAGAGGTATGATACGTGTTTGCATGCGAAGAAGAGGGGGACGTGGCCGACTCCGGATCGATTATGTGCGAGGTACGCGGGGCGTAACCTTGTGTACGCTGGGCGTACAGCTTCGGGCCAGTCTCGAAGTTTGTGCCATAAACTTCATAAATTAGTATATTATGCATATGAACTCCGTTCTTGACGTTCTTTATATCCACGCGTAGGTGGAATTATGCTCTACAACTTTCATTTAGACTCCATCGGCTAATTTTGACTTTATTTTTATTATTGTATTTTTAACAGGCCGGGACAGGAAAAGTCCGTTAAAAATTCATAACTTCTTCATCCGTTTTCGTCTGTCTTTTTACCATTGTACGACTATTGACGAGACCTTCGATTCTCGTTTAGGTTACGTCGGCTAAAAATCACTCGATCTTTATTTCGAGTTTTTAGCTGTCTACTACTATTCCGAAACTTAGAAAAATCATAACTTTCGCATACGAAGTCAGATTTTGATGTTCTTTTTATGAAAATTCTCGATTTAATGAATACTACGACTTTCGTTTAGATCACCAAAGCTAAAAAGTAGTTTATCGAAAACTCAATTTTTACGCTAAATAGTGTTTGCCGGTTTTGTCGCGGATCTTCGATTGGTCATAACTTCTTCGTTATAACTCGGATTTCGATGAGGTTTTAGCCTAAATGTTTCTAACGAAATTATCTACAACTTTCAATAATATAATTTTACTTATTTCAAATTTTATATTTTCGTTAAATTTCAATATTTGACTTTTGATTGGAATCTCATAAGACTTCCAATATTTTCCGAGCGATCCTAAACATAGTTTTACTTCATTTCTAGTAAAAACTATTTGTTAGAACTCAACGCTCAAATTACATAATATTTCATTATATTATTCACTTTTAAAATTATATAACACGATAACTGAACGTGTATGTTACAATTTCTTTGTTCTTTAAGTGTACACTGATCATTATATTCCATGAGACTGTATCTTTATCCAACATCAACTCAAAAAACTTTGTGGCATAATCAAAAGCCTCACTTTTAACATAGAAATCAAGAATGGAATTTTGTAATGTTGTCTAAAAAAACCCATTTCTCAATATCCATCCAAGAATCGTTTTACCCATGTTAAGCTCAATTATACTTCCACAACACTTCAAAACACTCAAATATAATTACTTTTTCGCCCTCGTGCTTCCGTGAAATGTATTGTTGTCTTGAAGTCATGAACTGCAAAAAAAAATCAACAGACTTAAAGTTATTAACCAATATTAGCAACACTTTAATTTTTTTTACTATTTCTAAAATATAAATGACATTTTGTTTACATTTATAAAAATTAGCACAAGGGTATTTTCGTCTTTTGATGAAAACAAAAATGCAATTGAACTCCATTCCCACGTATAAATCTACCATCTGCAATTCGTTGATCAGATCTAGGAAAATGTATCCACTATGATCAAAGGGCAAAACAGGAATTAACAAATTTACCATTTTTAATAGCATTATGTGTATTGTACTTTATTTGATATATTGATGTTATTGTTAAAGAAACATAAGTATGTTGCTAATCTTTTTAAACGAAATTGTTATTATGGATAAAAAAAGTTTTAGCTATGTTCTTATTAGCGGTAAAATACAATTCCCTCAAAAACAACATTCATCAGTAATTTCATCCATAATTTCATCCAATTTAAATTTCTATTTTCCTTATATAATTTTTTTTAATGATCTCGATATTTTCCCTCTAACAATATTTCAAGCATTTATTTTTTAGATAATGTTGTCCCATTATAATTATTATTTTTCTCATATAAAATAATAAAACTTACCAATATGCCTATATATTTATATTTAACTTTTATAAGCAACATTAACAATAAAACAAAATGATAGTTCAAGTGACGATTCATCTTCTTAAAAAAAAAAAGTTAAAAGTCTTGTCCCTAATGTTTTACCCATCAATCTTTCGTCAAATTACACTAATGTAATTATCTATAATTTTGAAGATATTCATATGTGACGATGAATGTCGTTCAACTAATAAAACAAAAAATATTGTCTACAAAGAGGTCGTTCAACGATTATAGATATTTATTGATTTGAATATATCTTCTACACATTTCAATAATACTAATAACCATATTTTTTTAATAATTATAATGCAATATCTGTAGACATTTGTATGT